ACAGCCTGGACAATTCCTATTGGCTTTTGAAAGCCAATAGAATTAGATGCTATTCAAGAGACTCTATTCTATTGGCTTTCAAAAGCCAATAGAATAAAAGGGAGTAGCACAGCTAAGGAAAAGGGGAAAAAATGGCGGACTGCGTTGTTTGGCGACCCCCGTGAAATGGTCGTTCTACCCCAAATGGGGTCCCGACCCACAGGTTGTGAACCACTACCTTAGAACCAGGGAAGAAACACTGTTTTTAGCACCTGTGATTCCTGTAAATAGTTCCTATTTTTAAAAAAATAATAATTGTCTATTGATAAATGGATGTGATCAAATGAAAATCACAGCTTAGTTCATTGGAGATGAACTTTGCCAGATTATTCTGCTGGAACAATTGATAATGTTGGTCTCTTTGGGCTCACAGAGCCAGTGACACAAAGAGAGTAAATGACACAAGTAGAATAAATGACACAAATATAGTAAACCAAGCATCTTTCTTGGAAGTCAAGACCCACCACGTTCAGTTTATGATTTCTGAAGCCTTACGTTCAACCAGCTTAGCCAGCTTCCCGCCCTTGTGAATCTTCTCTGATTGCTATCCAAGCCAGCATGGTTCCATAAAAGTGCAACGAAGTGTAACATGGAAGAAAATCTGAGCTCCAGGTTCAACCAGCTTCAACCTCTGGTAGCGTGACAGAAAAAGGCCTTTTATTTTAGACCTTGGACCAACAGAGCAGTTGAAGTCCATCTTGATCTGCCTCTGAGGACAAGGCCACATTGTCTAATGCAGTGGTTCTCAACCTTTTTAATGCCGCGACCCCCAACCGGTTGTAAGTCGAGGACTACTCAACCGGTCATAAGTCAAGGACTACTCAACTGGTGCACCACCGTTTGCAGAATGGGACTTTTGGCGGGCTCAGCAGGGCAGAGACAGCCTGGACGATTCCTATTGGCTTTTGGAAGCCAATAGAATTAGACTCTGTTCAAGAGAGTCTATTCTATTGGCTTTCAAAAGCCAATAGAATAAAAGGGAGTAGCACAGCTAAGGTAAAGGGGGGAAAAAATGGCAGACTGCGTTGTTTGGCGACCCCCGTGAAATGGTCGTTCGACCCCAAATGGGATCCCGACCCACAGGTTGAGAACCACTGGTCTAATGGAAGACTGAAATAAGTCTAGATCAGGGGTGTCAAACTGCCGGCCGGACGCGTCATCTGGAAGCCGCGCCTACCTCATTGCCGGCAATGGCAAAACCGTCCTGGTATGTTGCGCAACATCACATGAGTTTGACATGTCTGGTCTTTGTGTTTTTCCTACAGTTTCTATGTCCTTTACTTCTCATTTGTCTTCTTAGGGCTCGTGCCAAGCCAGCGATGCACACCAGTTTATAGCTGTCTTTCTCAATTTTGGTTGTGTTGGAATACAGTTTGCATCCTTTGCATCCGGGGTGATTCCGGATTTGTACTTTCAGCACATCTGAAGAACATTGGGTTGTAGAAGGCCAGCTTTTCAATGCACGACAGGGTCTATTAGCTCTGTTTAAAGCAAGGGATAAATTCTCCCTCTCTGCAGTATTAAATGTCTCTATTTCTCCTCTCTCCATAGCAATTAATTATAAGCCCAACTGGCGCGAAAGGTAAGAAAGCAAAGAATTACATAAATTAATATCCCTTCTCTTCCTCATTTCACACGCCCCCTTTGCTTAGCCAAGCTGTCTCTTCCACACTTCACCAAAACGAGGGCCGGCTGGGTCTTTTTGCTGAATTATTATTATCACCACAGCTCACTGTCAGGTCTGTGGCAGCGGAAAGGAGCACCCTCCATCCACCTCTGCAAACAGGGGAAGTGTGGATCGGCTGCAGCCGAAGCATTTTGACAAAGAGCTCGCTTGGATGCTGGGCTTGCAAACTGCTTTTGACAGAGGCGGCAGCTATTTCTCCCATCTTGCAGAGCTGATGTGTTGTTTTTTTCTCATTTGCTGGCATTCGAGTGCCCTCTGCTGCAAAACTCTGAAGTGGCACGCTGGCACCATTGGAAACTGGAGGAACACGGAAACATGCTTGCAGGAAAGGCCTCGGATCCGGCACTTCTCCTTAGTTTTGTCGACCCAGACAAGCGGCTGCGTGGGTTGCATTGCTATAGGAATGCACACTTTGCTAATACGTGCGGTCCTCGACTTACGACCGTTCGTTTTGTGACTGTTTGAAGTCACAAGGGCACTGCGAAAAATGATTGATGACCGCTTTTCACACTTACGGCTTTGGTAAAACCGTGATGGTCACACGATCAAAATTCAGAGGCTTGGCCACAGACTCCTATTTATGACAGTGGCAGCCTCCCGGAGTCATGTGATCCTCTTATCTGCGAACTTCTGGCAAGCAAAATCAACGGGGAAGCCAGATTTACTAAAAATCATGTTACTAACTTAACAACTGCAGTGATTTGTTTAATATCTGCGGCAAGAAAAGTCAAAAATAGGGCAAAATTCACTTCACAATTATGTCTTGCTTTGCAACGGAAATGTTGGGCTGAATTGATGTCCTAAGTCGAGGATCTCCTGTAATTGGCTTTAATAGGTGTTTCCTTAGTTTTTGACTAGGCATTGCCATTGATACGACTGAGGTACGCCAGCCGAGGTCGTTGGAGGCATTTTATACCTACTGCAAGGTATTAGTACTCCTGTAACCCTGGAAAGGGGCTCTTAGAAGGTGCTACCAACCAGGCCAGCTGGATCAAGGTTTTTTAAGGTGTTATTCCTCCATCGCTCACCCTTTGTCCCGATTTGTGACAGGCAGAGCCTGTCTGTCCAGATGCATCTGGGCCGATGGCCAGTGACCCCATGGCAGACTCAAGAAAAGATGGATGGATCACATCAAGGAGGACATGAAATACGTGGGCATCACCCCTGAAGATGTCCTCAATCTGGAGATACCTTTGCCGACAAGCGGACCCTGTCATAGCATGGGAATAAGGATAGAAAGAAGTCGGTGTTTCCCTAGCTTTTGTAATTTTTTTTTATTGGTGTCAGAAGCACCTACAAATTATGTGTCAAGCCCTGTGGGCACGACATGGACAGGGGGAGAGGGAGACGATACCGGGGAGGAGGCCAGCAATGTCGCCGAACGGCTGGGAAGTTCCACGGCTCGACTGCCAGACAGCTGTTCGGCACGGAAAGGCTCCAGGGAGGAGGACCGCAGCAAAGACGTCCGCTGGGAGGAAGCCAGCTGGGAGACATTGGGGAAGAGGCCAGCGGAGGCTAGAGGCAAGGACAATACCTGGGGAGAGGCCAGGGCAGCTCTACCTGGACAATGGCCAAAAGGCAGAGCCGCCAAACTGCTGAGCAGCATGCGCCTGACAAGCAGCTAATCGGCGCAGGAGCGTCCTCCAACAATGTGAACCCGGTTGAACGCAGAAGAGAGCCAGAGGCCCGCATCGCTGTTCTTAACCTTAGCCACTGGATGCTGGCTAGGTGGGTGGGGGGGTGGAGCTTATGGGGGAGGACTGTATGTACCTTTGTTTTGCTGTAATTAAACACTGGTCAGACCGTTCCGTTTTCTCCAGCCACCTTGACGTTGACCACTTGTCGTCTGTGGGAACCAGGGGTTGATAAGGACACTGACATTATGGGCATATAACATTCAACATTGAGCGAACAAAATAGGTACAACACAGGACATAGAAATATAGCGGGTATAAAAATATGTCGGGTAAATAGGATTAAAACTAAATGACATTTGCTCAATATTGGGCCGGGTCAAGGGCATTTTCTGTCGCCAGCACGCGAGAACAAGTGGAAGGGCATTGTATGCCCCATGGCATACGTGAGATGGATTGTTCTTCTCCACATTCACACAGGTATCTTCTGTGGGGAAGCCCCGTTTTCTTAGATTGTCCTTTGATCTACCTATCCTGGCACACCGCCTATTTGTTTGGAGGCTTGCCAGAAATGTGGGAGCATTTGGGGAAAATTTGGAGCAATTAAAGGGCGGTTTGAATTGCCAGCTGACTGCATGGCCTCTGTGCTGTGCCCTGGGTTATCACAGGAGCTAAGTAGCAGGCTGGCCTTGTATGTATTTGGAGGAAAGACTTCTAGTGAAACGTCCAGCTGACTGAAGGTCAAGTGCCATCAGCTGCTGAAAAAACTACCAAATGGGGTCCTTGAAAGCTCCAGGAGGCAAGTCCCAGGAGCCTTTGAGCAGAAGAGCTGTGATTATAACCCATGTTATTTCTCTTCAGCAAGTGTGCTGTAAAAACCCATTCATAAAAAGGCTGAGATTCAAGATGGCAAACATCCACTTGGGGTATAACTTTCACTCAATAGCCGATGACAGATTGACAATCTGAATCCATCGTGGCCACTCAGCCAAAATTTGTTGAGGGGAGGAAGGAGGGAGGAAGATGTAGAAAATGATTGGAGTATAAGCTGGTAGGGTTAAGGTCGATAGCAAATAGGCAGTTAGACCGAGAGGACAATTAAGACACAAATGAAGACAAATATATGTGTCCCAGGGTAACATTGCAGGATCCAATCTGGGCCAGTCACCAGGACTAGAGGTTTTGGATCCTGCTGCAATTAACCTGGAAAGGGAGGTGTTGGGAAGCATCCTTTTGTCTAACTTTGCAAGGTTATCATAGCTAAGGGGAGAAGTAAAAACTGTATGTAGAACAGGGGTGTCTAACTTTGACGAGTTTAAGACCTGTGGACTTCAACTTCCAGAATTTCCCAGCCAGCAAGGCTGGCTGGAGAATTCTGGGAATTGAAGTCCACAAGCATTAAAGTCGCCAAGACTGGACACCCTTGCTATGGAATCAATCTTACTTCTTAAGAATAAGCTAAATTCTCCTAGATTGGAAATTTGTCTCATTTTACGGAGTAATTTCCACTGAGCACACTAGGTGGCAGGACATCCATTCTAATTACAGGATTCATTTCAGGTTTCTGGTAGATTGCCCAGCAAACACACACACACACACACACACACACACACACACACAACACAGCCAGTGACACAAAAGACACTCGGAATTAGGAAGTTTATTCACTAAAGCAACACTGAGGAAAGTCTTTACATACAGGCTTTTTAAATTATCTTTACAAGCAGGTTCCAATATAGAGTATTTTATCTTTTTCTTTTTTTTTTTCCTTTAGGCGAAAGATTACATTGTAAGAGTATTTTGCAGCTAGTACTGATTTAGTACAAAGACTAACACTACAGTTAATCTTGATTAATCGTGGTGATTTTGAGATTCATACAGGCAGTGAGTAGCTTTACCACAGCCATGATCGCCAACTTAAGTTTCTGAAGGCCCAGCTCATCCTCTCTAACCACGATCGGGGTTTCAACAAGGCACTACTCACTGACACGATAATCTCACAGAGGCTGAACCAGGCCAAAGGCAAGGGCAAGTTTAAATTTAGGAGTTTTCAAAGAGCTACACTTCAGCTGGACCAGGTCCATTGTATTTGGAGATCCGCTGCTATCAGATGACGGACAGACCAAATGGAATTGCCAGTCTGGTGCCAGGATGCTTTTGGTGGGAGCAGGTTGGTCTACCAAAAGCAGAAATAATGCCCCCAAAAAGGGGGGGGGGAATCAACCCTAGGATGCCAATGCACCATGACACAAAAGGCTTCAGACATGCAAACAGTATGACGAGGAAACCCTAGCATGACGAGGAAACCCTAGCACGAGAACTGACTTAGCTGTAGTTGGTTGGCAAGTCCCTACAATCGGATTCCAAACTCTTGAAATACGTAACACTCCTTGTTTGCGCAAGGCAGGTGGTATTTATTGCAGAGTTATTTTTATTTTTTTTTAAACAAATCAATCAATTCTAAAGACAAGTTTCGGCAAACACCTGAGGCATTTTCTCTTTGAGTTACGGCATGAAGAATGCAGAAGTTCAGAAAGAAGATGCTTAACAGGGCAAGGTTTTGCGAGGCCAGCTTATGTAGGCATGCGAGCCACAGCTCCATGAATATTTTGGGATAATGAAGAGGTGGAGACATATTTTAAGAGCTTTAATCCTCATTGGAAAGCTAACGTTTAAAAAAACCCTGAATCACAAACATGAATATACATTGAAAAACTATTTCACTGCTTCAGCCGTGGATCTTTAAATGTAGGCACAACTCCACGCTCATCAAGTACAAATCCATTTGGTTCCATTTCCACTTCATGATACACCTGGGGGTGGTTGAACACCTTGGGAATTATTGCATAATGCAGTAGAATCCAATGGACACAATGCAAGTTAACAGGAAGTAGTGATGGATAAAATCCCAGATTTTTTTTTTTTTTCACTTTAAAGAAATGTTATAATCATTATGGCCACTGGGAATCTGGCTGCCTGTCCTATCAACCTGAATGAGCCTTCAAGTCATACTGCATGCCAGTTTTGAAAGAAAGAAATTCCTTTCACCCACTGGATACCCTAAACATACATGAGAACTTTCTCCCACACAACTGCATTCTGGAAGGTTGCCCCCGACAGTTGGATAAGGGAGACTCACAACCATGATTCAAAACCCACCAGGTCCCACCTTGGCTTTGCCTGATCAGTGCCCGACGTAATGACTCAAGGGCAGCTCAGCCAACCTCCTTTGGGTGAGGGAGTTCCAAGTTACCTCAAGACACAGTTTAGATATTGAACATCACTCTCACCTGCTGCCATTTGCTACCATCAGCTGACTTCTCATTGGCCACTCTGGACAATGAAATAGCACTCTCTTTGGAAGGTAATTCCCATCAAGTGAGAAGCAAACAGGTCATTTCCAAGGGTTATTTTCCAGTAGGTGCTTAAAATCATGCTTGGAACATGAATTTAAAAAAGGCTAGTTGAAGGCCTCCTAATGTATACTGGAATACTGCTACAGATGTAGAAATTTGACCTGACGCAGTTGCTTTTATAAGCCGGGTTAAGGTTATTACTTGCCACTGAGAAGTGGGATGACTTTCCTCACTGTTTTTCATCTAATTCTACAGGTACCCCTTAGTGGTGAGGCGTTTTCTTTGACATGGTACATTCACATCCTGACAGGGATGAGAAGATGGTGTTAAACATTGGGACAAGAACAGCTTGATCACCGGCATCCAGAAGCTGTCAAAAACAGCAAGATGGCGGTTGTAGGTGCGTAAGCAAAATAACCCACACTTTTTTTTTTTTTGATCCCCTCTGGGTTGCCGATGTTTGTGTGACTACGTAGGATCCTCTCATACTTATATTGCCAAAAGTAGGCGGACTCTTGTGCCCCATTGATCAGTCAGCTTGCCTGGACAACTACTCACTTGACAGGCTCCATCTGCTCCGACACAGGGCCAAACTCATTCACCAGGAGTTCAGCCACAGCTACCTGGACTGGTGTGCTTCTCAGCCTGGATTAAACAAGGTCTGATCCATGTCAAGGTTCGTGGGGCTAACATTACGACAGAAAACCCCTGCCCGTTTTAAACACCGTCCTCCTTCAACTGCTATCCCTGATCGCAAAACAAAACAAAAAAAGGCAACTGAAGCTGAAAGCATGCTCGTCACTTGAAGAAAAACGATTTTTTCCTCAAGAAAGCATTTTCCGGTCAACAACATCAAGAACATTTCAGTGCGTACCTTCAAAGTTTACAAGTGAACAAACACAGCTAGGAGCTCCTGGTCAGTCTTTTGATGATAAGCTTAAGTTTGCTGCGTATATTTCTTACTTATCCTTCTTAAGAAAACCAAAGCTACTTTTCCCTGGCTTAATTTATCTTATCTGACGCCCTCCAAATAGACCACAGTTCCCTGCTAGCATATGCACAAGATAGGTTATTTGAGGACAATGAAGATTTAACCTGACATATTTGGAGGGTGCCAGATTTGGGAAGGTTATTTTGATTATCTTTTTTTAAAGGATGCATTTTTCTATAAGAAACGTTCTATAAGTAATATTCAGAGCTCAAAATCAAAGCTATGGTGTATTTTTCAAGTTTTATTTAACACTTTTAAGAGGCATTTTTTTTTCAAACCAGCGTTCTCGGATTGATAACGGAGTAAGATTTCAAGACAATTAAACCACATTTAAAACTTTTTGTTTTCGTGGCTCTGGTTCAACCTAACCCTCCATTGATGGCCTATCTATCTGACAGAATTTCTCTGTCTCCAGTGACTTTCTATCGTTTCCCCCCCAAAGATTAAAAAGTTTTGTCCTTTTATGACTTCCCTAGATTTCTCCAAGTGTGTACGTGTACATAAATGCATTTGCATTTTAAAAATAGGGTTTTTTTAAAAAAACGTAAGCTTTATTATGAAAAATAATTTTTGAATCCCTACACATATGGCAAAAATTTTGTGCAAACATTCCAAATTGGCTTCTTCTTGAGATTTTCAATTGTAACAGAACTCAATAAATAATGTTACCGTTAAGCCTTGAAATGGAAATTTACAAGCTGGCGGTCATGGACTCCTTATTTCCAGAGTCACATCACGTGCCATTTGACAACCGTCAGTATAAACCAAAGTCTGGGATATATATTAAATACTGTTTTGCAGTTATGCCATGATAACTGATTAACACTATATATATATATATATATTCTACAGCTTATCTACAACAAACGGGGTAAGACTTTAAATATAAATATATCCATTTCACCCTGTGAAATTGTGCGGCCACTTGTGAACCATGAATACGGACCCCAAAAACACAAGAGAGCAATTTGGGATCTTCCTTGCGAAAAACATACAACCTCCCTTAAATATTAAATATACATCTTTTACAAAGTTTGGGGTTATAAATAGAGACGATTTGCATAGGCCTCTTCGAGATACAGAGACAGACTTATGGCTGAAGAGTTAACAAAAAGAAGAAGAAGAAGAAAAAAGAGCAACAGCATCATGTGTCCATCGCTTATAATTAATTCCCAGAACGAGAAGGTAGCCGCGTAGTCACCTATTCTTCAAGGAGACATCCAAAGGATACAATTTCCGTCAGCAACTTCCTAGACCAGTGTTTCTCAACCTTGACCATTTTAAGGCATGTGGACTTCAACTCCCAGAATTCCACAGCCAGAGTTGAAGTCCACATGCCTTAAAATGGTCAAGGTTGAGAAACACTGTCCTAGACAGAGGCGACCATCGGCGCCACCAGGAGAGGCCACAGGCTCGTGCAGATCGAGGCTTGAAGAAGCAATGCGCATTTTTAAAGAGGGTCAAATGGAGATTAGGAGAGGAAGCATCAGAAGATGTGCAGCCTTTGGTGCCTCCAGGCTCTTGCTGGGGCCTCCTGGCCAGGAAAGGGGCAAGCAAGCAGCGTCATGGGACAGGACCCGGGAGAGCCCCACTCGGGCTATGTCTTTGGTTTAGGAAGCCGGGAGTGCCGATGCAAAGTCAGCCCCTCCCCGGGGCGAAGGGCTGGATCTCGGTGCTGTGGGCCATCTTTTGCTGGCATCAGTGGCTTCGAGGGGTTAGCCTGAAACCTCTGCTGCTCGGGAGCTACGACGGTTTGGGAGGTTGTCCTCTGCTTGGGGCGGAAGGAAATGGCCGGAGGGCGAAGTTTGGAGGTCCTCTGGGTTCTGCTGCTTGCAAGGGAGAAGTTGGACACAGACTGGGGTTGCGCCTGGCCATTCAGTGGAGGCACAATGGAGTCTCTCAAAGAGGTTGCTGGAGGAGGCACTGGCACGGTCTGCTTTGGGGCTCGGAGAGCTCTTGACATCTTTGGTGGCGAAGCCTGGTTTGGCCTGGAGCTGTGGCTTTTTGCGGCTAGCCTGGCCTGCCCGTCCTGCGCATTCCCCTGCGAGGCATTCCATTTCCGACTGGCTACGTCTTTCGCTTTTTCTCTGACCGTTTCGTTCTTGGTGGAATGTGCGTTCGCCAGGGAGTTGTCGTCGTCGTTCCGCTGTGTGTTTAAAGTGCTTGGTTCACGCCTGCTGTCAGTGCCGGAGCTGATGGCCGTGTTGTCGTCTTCGTGGCCAACATGATCCGGTTGGTCCTGAGGAGGGGGTTCACTGCGAGCCACGGTGGGTGATGCTTTTGCTAGTTTTCCCTGGCTGAGGTCTGCGGAATGGAGAAGGTGGCTGGAAGGCTGTAGTACTTGAGGCTATAGGGGAAACATCACATGTCAACAGATTAGGAAATACAGAATGGAAATCTTACGGGTCTCTGCTTAAAAATTAATTTTTATGTTCAAAACTTATGAGCAAAGGGCAAAGGAACCAACGGTTTCCATGCCTGTGCAAGGACACCAACAGAATAAGCTATTGTAGCTGAAATTCATTGTTATATTTAGGTCTGTATGTAATTTATACAATACCAATACCCAACTGGACTCTTATTATTGTTACTTAGTCATCTCTATTTTTGCCTTCTAGCCCAGAGGTCATTCAACGGGGCTGATACTAAAACATGAAATAATATCAGCTAAAAACAGTTAAAATCAACTAGTCTTCAAACAGGAAAAGGATGGGTAAAAAGGAGGAGCTGAATTTTTTCCCTAAAAGCAGTTGAAAGACTCTTTTCCTGAAGTGAGAGTTGAAGGCAGATCCCAAGGAATTATCTTCCGTACCAGTAAACAAGTGTCGCAAACTGAGGGCATCGTCTTCGTTTGACAGGGGTCTTTACTGGTTCAGACAAATCGGGCGACCCCTCCAAATATTTCATCCGTTGGGTGGTGCGGTCTCCAATCTTGGCAACTTTAAGACTTGTGGACATTAACTCCCAGATTGCCCCAACCAGCCGTGCTGGCTGGGGAATTCTGGGAGTTGAACTCTACAAGACTTAAATGTTACCAAGCTTGGAGACCCCTGTATTAGAGCAGAAAAACTGGCCTACTTCTATTGTTCTGTCACAATAGCAGATGTTAACTGTGCCACAATTAAATATTGTATAAGCAAATTTAACCACGTGAGCACTGCCTTCCCAAGATCCATTGGCTAAAGCTTATTATTTGCAAGGGTATGTTGATTTATTAGATTCATCTGACTTTGAAATCTCCATAATGTGTTTCAAAGCTGTTAATGGATGGAAGGCTTAGTTAGAAGGTTACCTAGGCTGAGTTAATAAGCTATGTTTTAATGCACAGTATGCAACGTGGGATTAGTACAGTAGTTCTGCTTCACAATCATTATCTTTCAGAAACCATGACAAATATAAGGAGAAAAATCCCATAACTTGGTGAATGAGTAAATAGGATACAGGCTGGAGAAAGATCTCTGCCTCAGATCTCAAAGTTATTACAAGATAAAACAAGATAGTAAATACATCATTATATTCCCTGTATTTTGGACTCATTTTAGCACTGTGCATCCTTAATTAATTTCAATAGATATATTGAATTCAATATATCTGATTTCAATAGATATATTTTACCATTTTCTATACGCTATGTACCCACCTGCATAGATGTGATGTTAGAAGACATGCAACTGTTGCAGATGGCAAATACAGACCAGAGTGATTTGCAAACAGAAAACATACAACACAACATAAACGCAAACAGCCCTCAACATACAGTAGTCCCACACAAGCCCCTGCTTGTATCAATCCCTGAAGGCTTTTTTTTGGGGGGGGGGGGTTTGCTCATGTAAAAAGTGCTCTCTTCCATTTCAGGATTTTAACAGTTACCCAACGGAAGATAGTAAAATAATTGTTCAACCCTTTTACCTCACCATGGACCAGGCAGTATTACACACAAATACAAAATGATTAATTTTTCTCCAGGAAAATCTTTCCCTACCATATACATCTACTGAAGGTTACCTTCCTCTTTATATAATAAAACACTGCCACCACTGTGGGGGTGACAAAATGGAATTTGATCAGTACAAGGAAGTAAATTATGTACTAGTATTTGACAGTAAATGGGACAGAATGAAACAGCTTGATTACAGCAAATCTCAATTTATCCCCAATTCCCAAAAAAGAAAATATGTAAAAATACATAAAAATTCTGCAAAGTAAATGCTATTTACATGTTGAAAAACAAAACGAAACAAAACGTGTGCCTAATTACTCATGTTCTTAAACAAATATATGAGTTAGATCCAGTCTGTTCCTAAAGAATGTCTCCTGCTTAAGAAAAAGTGTACCTAACACAACTAAAATGAAACTAAATTAGTTATTAATGTAAGGCAGGGGTAGTCAACCTTGGCTCTTTTATGACTCGTGGACTTCAATTCCCAGAATTCCTGAGCCAGCTTAGCTAGCTCAGGAATTCTGGGAGTTGAAGTCCACGAGTCATAAAAGAGCCAAAGTTGACTACCCCTGGTGTAAGGTGACCTATGATCAAAAGGAATTCTAAGCCTCAAAAGCATTAGAGCTGGCTTTTGCCTGGTAAAATCTAATTTTGGGAGAAGAAGAAGGAGGAGACATCAGATGCAAAAGTTTTGACAGTATGTCCAACTGCAATAATTTAAACATAAGTTGTTAAATTAAGCAGCCTTCATTTCTAAACAAGAATGGACAGGTTGACACTCAGCTTCACGGATTGTTCAAATAAAAATCTATTTAGATTTTTTTTCCCCCTCTCTCTCTTCTGCTTGATCTACAAAACATTTCTCCTTGAGAGAGCTGGAGAAAAACTAGTTGACTCACACTTATAAAGAGAGCATGTTTTGGAAGGAGAATTAAATAAGCGGGGGGGGGAGGAATAACCGGATCAATTGTGTCCTAATGGGTAGAGTGTCTAATCGAATTGGTGACAGGAGAGTGGAGGAAAGAGGAGGAAATAAATAAAAAAAATAAAAGGGTGTGTATAAGGAGGGGTATCCCTAGATATCTCCCACACACCCAGTTCTGAAAGCAATGGGGGGGGGGGAAACAGAAAATAAAGGCCCAACTTTTCCAACTCTCTTTGATTGAATTTCTACTTCTCCAGCAACTGAAGGAAGTTACTGCAAGTTTATATAAAGAAAAAAAAAGGGCAATCCTGCTTTCTGGGTATGGTGGGAAAGTTCCCATCTGTTTTTCAGCTCCTGTCTGGTTAAAAGCAGATCCTGTTTCTTGCCAGGAAGGAACACACCTCCTTCAGCAATTCCTTGCTGCCCAACTGGTCGAATTACTGCCTCAAATGCAGAAAAACGTGCCTCTTCTTCTTTTGACTGAAGAATCCCCAAACACTGTTTTAATCCAGTGATCTTCACAATCCTGGTCAAAAATAGCCGGGGAACAGATAGACCCTCCAGGTTCGTTGGAGGCAGGAAGTGTCAATTCCTGTTGTCTCAACAGTTGTCTCAACACTTTAATTATCCTCTGCATCTCCTTATTCAAATTTTCTGCCTTCAACTCTAACTCAACTGGGCATGGTCCGGTTGGGTGGGGAGAGCAGCTCCCAGAATTTCATTGGCTGGGAAACAATACAGAATAGACCTAATGCATCTTCTTTTCATAGTCATGGTCCTTGACTGAAAGCCATCAATTTGCATAATTAGTGAGACTGCTTTCCTTGTATAATTAAGCTGGCCATCTAGATCTTGTCCAAACGATGTCTTCAAAACAGGAAACTGGTTTTGGTGGGGCCCAAATGTTTTAAATGTGGTTGGAAGATTCTGAAGGGAATGTCTCTTGTTTTTCTATCATTATTGTTCTTGTCTTTTGAAGCTAAGTAATCATTATATGTATAGGAATATGTAGTAGTGGCCAAAATTGTGGAAACCTTTTGGGAAAAGTATACTTTTGAGATTTGATGGCTAATAACACCACTTTTTTTGGGGGGGGGAGTAGTACCATAAAATTATATATCAATGGAAAGATAATTTAATCAAGAATGTAATGCAACAAAGTTTGTTCAATTATCTGTACTGTATTCTATGAAAAGTTATAGCCAAAGAACCAGACAAAGGAAGCACAACTTGCTAAGGTTGATCTCAGGTAGCTTTCCTTCATCCGATTGTAGCCAATGAGCATGAGTCTTTAGAGAGCCAATCGGGTGACATCTTGTTTTGGCAATGAGCCAATCAGATCACAGAAGGATTGAGTTCTCTGCAAGACAGGCGAGAAAGGGCTGGCGGAGGGAGGCGGCCGGGAGAGTTGCCGGAGGACAAAGAAGGGGCGGCTGTGCCCGGACAGGTGATCTGCGGGGCAAAGCTTAAAGAAAGCACCTCCAGTGGCACATAGCGACAACGCAGAGCCGTTCGCCATCACTTCCCCCTGGCTCCGAAACGACAGAGGGGGACCGGGCCTACCCCGCCCATCCCATCCACCGTAGCATGGCAGTCCAGCTCAGGAGGGGAGCGAAAGGTGGCCAATCAAGAAATGGCCTGGCAGGGGGGTAGTGGTTCTGAAGTACCAGTAAGCGGGTGCAGGGCGCGTGGAACAGCTCCAGCTCGCCTCGCGGTGGCAGCAGCAGCGCGATGTGCCGTGCGTGACCGTAGAAGTGGGCCGGCAGCCACGTGGGCTGCTGGATGGGGCTGTTCGTGCAGGTATCACAAAAAATATAAGACATCCCCAAAATTTAGACCTTATGCCTCTTTTAGAGGCAAAAATAATATAAGACAGTGTCTTACTTTCGGGGAAACACAGTACTGTCACTAAGTATTGTTGTCATGTGACATTGCACTTTACAATTGCATGGTTTAATAATGGCAATTCTAGTCCCAATTGCTATTGTAACTCAAGGACTATTTATATATCAGTGGAGTGTGAGCTAAGAGTTACTAGCAAACATGGTAGCTTGTTTCATTTGTTTAAAAAAAAAGTCCAACATTGGGGTGGCGAGCAATCGATACACAGAAAGAATTTTATGGAGTGGTCCAACAATTTAAGAGATGCAAATCCAGAACTGCTCAGTTAATAGAAGGAGTCTCTTTTCCACCAAAATTGTATTTCTCAAAATCCTGAGGTAGTCTAGGCCAGGGGTAAGCAACCTTGGCTCTTTTAGGACTCGTGGACTTCAACTCCCAGAATTCCCGAGCCAGCCATGCTGAGGGGAAAGGGAGAGGTTTCCAAGCTGAGCCATGCTGGCTCAGGAATTCTGGGAGTTGAAGTCCACGAGTCATAAAAGAGCCAAGGTTGCCTACCCCTGCCCCAGATGGTGGGCAAGGAGTTGTGGTTGAAGATCAAGGGTCTATAGACAATCCCAGGCTTCCTTTAATGTAAAGATGA